CAACTTGCACTTTAACTTCCAAAGCACTTAGAATCAGTAGTAACTTAACCTTAAATCACTCAAAACATTTCAAAAGATCATGAAACAACACAAAAGATTAATCACAAATTAATATCTTTTAGTTTCAGCCTGGCCATGACAGAAACCATTTTAAGATACCAAACAATGATCAATAAGCAGTTTATTCTTTCAAAATGACCCGACGGACGTGTTTGGGACGAAAGAGGAAAACACGAGGCTACTTTTTAAGCAATAGCGCGGTTTTATTGCTTATTCTGGACTATAGAGTTAACGGAAGAAGAAGGAAAGAGAGAAAGAGATGAGTTGCTGATCACCAGAAAAGCGAGGCGTCCCTCCCTCTTTGATTTGACGGTTCTCCGTGTTTCTCCGCAGCTTTCGGCGTCGTCCGTCGGTTTGATGCTTTCTCCGTTGTTTGGCGTTCACGAGTGTTTCTCCACGGGCTGGACAGAGACAGCAAAGTTTCTTTCTGTGCTGAGTTATAACTTACAGCGTGCTTGATGGAGTTGTTGCTTTCCTCCGCAGTTCTGTGTCCTCAAACATCAGCTGGAGGGGAGCAGAAACGAGCAGATCTGATGGGCTTGCAGTTTAGTTTCCAGCAGTTCCGTGGGCTCAACTCGGGCACTTAGAGCTTCCGCGTGCTCAAGTTGTCGGAGCGTTGACAAGCGTGTCCTAACCGCCAGGTATCCTGGGCAAAAGAACGAGGATTCTTTGTCTCTGCTGAAGATTTATGGTCTTAGTTCGCGGGAAAAGCTCCACGGCTTCCCGCACATGCGCAGAACGTGTTTCTGGTACTAGGCGGTGACATCACCCAATGCTTCCGTGTGCAAAGCATCATGGGAAATGAAGTTTCTTGGCGCTGATGTGATTATTTGCTTTTCAGAGCAATTTAAGCACAGTCATTTTGGAGAAAATCACTGCATAGTAATTTCCTCATGAGGTCAGACCCTCAACATTTAATATAGAAATGTTATTCATAGTTTAAAAGAGTCATGTGACATTTTGCATTGCTTTATTGAAGCAGGCTCCTGTCATCTGTTACCATGGCAACACAAGGAACTACAAATAACTTTAACCAACTCTCATAGGAATGAATATTAAAAAGCTGAATATTGAGCCAATAACAGACTCCTGTTTTTGATTTTTTTTAACTATCTGTACTTAAAACTAGAAATAAGTTCAATTTGATTGACCGTCAGAAGGTGGGAAAGTGCCCCGCTCCCTCCCAGCTCCCTGATTGGTTGAGAGAGGTCAATCATCTTCTGGCTAAATGGAATTACACACCCACGCATTTGAGACATCAAATCGATCGGCTTGGCCTAAGGAATCCATCCATCCACATATAAATCCATACTTGCTTCTGTTCATCCATCCACCCATCCATTCATCCATCCATCCATCCATTCTTCCATCCAATAAACCATCTAACATCCATCCAACAATCCATCCATTATTTCATTCATCCAACCATTCATCCATCCCATATTAAATCTGAACATATGTTAATCTATCAGTTTCAGATATCAGCAAATATTTCTAAATTCACAGTTCAGCCAATTGTAAAAATGTACCCGTTAAACTATTCTCATTCAAATGCCAGCTGTTTAACATTTCACATTTAGAGTTTTTAATCAATTTTCAAAGATGATAGTTTTCTGCTGTTTTATCCATTCTTCACCTATATTCTGAGCTTTATTACACTTGTTGGTGATTTTTGCTTCTAAATCTTTAAATTCATTCAGCTCATTTGCCAGTTTAGCTTAGTTTCAGCTTCACTTCAGCTATTCAGCAGCTTCAGCAATCCGTTTCCAAATTTAGCATAAGCTGCTAATTTCACAGTTCAGCTAAAAGTAAAGATTAAACTGTTAAACTTGCCCAACTGAAATAACAGGTGTTTAGACATTTTAGCTGTCCAGATTTTTATACAATGTTCACAGATTTCAGTTTTCTGCTATTTAGGATGATTTTTCTCCATTCTTCACTTTTTGTGCTTTATTTGCTTGTTGGTGCTTTTTGCTTCTACATCTTTCAACACATTCAGCTCATTTTGACAGTTTTGCTTACTTTCAGCTTCAGTTCAGCTATTAAGCTGATTCAGCTAACAGTTTAAGCTATCCAGCATTCAAACAGCATTTCTGCAAGAAATGCAATTTATCTAGTTTTAAGATTGTCTCCGAGAAGAATTGTCTAGTTTTCTTATTTTTAACTCAAAATTTTAATCTTTCATCTGTTCATGAAATATTATGATTTTATGTCTTTATTTTTTCTTACGTTAATCTATTTTTGATTGGAGATAATTTTGATTGTATGACTGTTTTACTTTGTTTTGATCTATGTCACTCTGTGATAAGTGCTATAGAAATAACATTTACTTACTTGCAAATATTTTATATTTGGCAATAAAACAAACAAGTAAAAAAAAACATTTAAATGTAAGTGTAATAATAATTAATTGCCTAAGAAGTAAAAGTCTGTAGTTTAGCAAATGTCCAGAGAGGTATTTGTTCAGTTCAGAAACTATTGGATTTAGTATTTTCCTTTTTTGAATTTGAATATGAAACGTTGCAAACTTTGTGAACAATAGTTTATAATTCTTCTAGAGCTTAAATTTAAATCAAAACGACCATAAAATAATCGTGGATTGAATCGACTGAAACCTGCAGAAACAACTTCTTGTCTCCTTGTGGAGACATAAAAGCAAGAGAAAGTCTTATGTCAGAGGTCAGTACGTGGTGCCACGCCAGCCTCTTCCTTCACACAGTAAAACAGTGATTTCTTTTCATGCCTCTTGGTAATCGGTGTTTAGCAGCATGAGTCTGCTTGTAGAGCACATGCTATTGATGCTCAGCTGTAGAATCCACACCAGTTTCATGTTTTTGTTCTCAAAATAACTAAAGGCCCTAGAGAACATCTGCATGTTTAATAGAAATGCAGTAGTTTACACTGACTTGGAAATCAGAAAACCCTTTCCCCCTCAAAAGTATTTTAGTACCTGCTCCGCGCCCAATAGAATAAATGGTAGATTGGAGAAAAGCTCTTTATGCTATAATCTCCTTTACTCCTCCTCTCCTCCTGGTTCCTCCTCTCTGCTCCAGGAGCACTCTTGTGTGTAATTAATTATGACTGTGCCGGCTGACAGCATACGGCTACTGTACTGATTAATTACTGGCGGGGGAAGAGCTGCTCTCCTCCCATTCCCTCATCTCTTTCCACTTACTCTCTTGTCTCATTATCTCTCCATTTCTGTTA